TTTTAAGTTACGTACACTACGTAACCGTACTAGTGTAGTTAAATTTAGTTACTAACGTAGTAGTAGTGGTCGAGAGAGACCGTTCGTTAGTAGAGTACGTAACCGTACGTAGAGAGTAGAGAGAGAGAGAGAGAGAGAGAGAGGACAGAAACCCCTTAACGAACATTCGATCCCATTAAATGAATCTGCCCCCCAAACTTCCCTTTACCATTTCCTCGTTTGTACGGAGTCCGATGGCGACCAAGCACCACGTATTTGATCTGTGCACGAAGCGTGACAATTTTCCCTTGTTCCTTTGCCTTTAATGTTTTTCAGAGCCTTTTCTTAGCAGTTAATGCCTGTGGAATACCTGTCCTTCTGTTTGTCACCTGTGCTACATGGGGGACACTTGCCTCTAACGTGCCCATCAACCCGTTAAACGACAATTCAATCCCCTATATCCATATCTTTGATTTGAGCTTTCTCTCTCTAAAATCCACGTTCCATTACCATCGATCCCTTTCTCTCAGTCTCTCGAGCTTTGTCACTCTTCGGGGGCAAGGCGACTCCAGCTCTTTTTCTTTCCTTTTACCCCACCTCTGAATCCCCTGTTTATCTTCATTGTTTGAAGGATTTTTTTGTGCGTGTACTCGATACTCTTATTTTTCATCTCTTTCTCTCTCTTCTCTCTCTGGATTGTGGTGTTTGATGGACCGGTACGATCCTCTTAAGGATATTGGATCGGGGAATTTTGGGGTTGCCAGGCTTGTGAGAGATAAGAAAACCAAAGAACTTGTTGCTGTTAAATACATTGAGAGAGGGAAGAAGGTAAGATTTACTCTTTTTGATGATTTCCTGTGCCAAGGTTTCATGTGAATGCTTTTCTCTTGCTGTGCAGATGCTTTTGTTTCAATACTTCTAATGCAAAGAGCTTTGGTTTTGGGTTGAATTTATTATGTGGTTTTGTGGATGGATTTTTGGGTTTGAATTGGATTTGGATATTGGTTTAATGGTGGTTGGGTTGTTGGGCTAAGGGTCATATCGATTTTAGTTATTTTTGGTTCTCTGATATATGGGTTTCCTTTGCAAATTTTATATATGTGGGATTTGGGTTTCAATTTGAGGTTTTTTTGGTTGGTTTTGGATTGAATTTCAGTGCAATATTTTTGTTTGGAAAGTGGTTATTGGGTCTTATATCGGTTTTCTCGTTCAGATCGATGAGAACGTACAGAGGGAGATCATCAACCATAGGTCTCTGAGGCATCCAAATATTGTTCGCTTCAAAGAGGTACGGGCTTTTCACTACTATTTTAGTTTGATTATGAATGGTTGATAATTACAGATTGTGTTTTGGAGGAACTGGTTGGAACTGGAATTTGTGCTTAGCATTAGAAATATTAATTGGCACAGCTAAATATTGATTCCTTGATATTTATTCTATAAAAGGAACAAGAATGAAGGACCAAATATGCGTTGATTCATCCAATTTGCTTATTTTAATGGATGAGGGAGATCGTTTGGGCTTTGTGTTGCAAGATTCCTCGTCAATCACTTAAAGGCTATAGGCTGAGCAAGTCTTTGCAAAAAAGTACAATAAGAACAAAAAGACCTCATGAGGCTTTTTGTTCCAGTTGTAAAACATAGGTAGGCAGATGCGTTTTGGATAATTGCTTCATCATAAAGGCACCTGCAAACAAGGCTTCTTTAACCCCGATAACAGCTTTAATCATATATGAAAAATAATGCAATAAGAGGCCTTCCTTGGTGCAGCATCAAAGTTTGAGGTCTCTGGATGACTATTTTAAGTTATTAGGATCAACAGTTATTGGTTGTTTTGAGTACTATAGTCCAATGTGAAAGAGATGCTCATTGATGAACGAGTGCATTCCTTGTGAAGATGTGGGGTTTGTGTGGTTGGAGGTATTAGAGTGTGTTTTTAGTCAGTTTTTTGTTCATAGGAATTAATTCAAGGGCATGCTCATTTGGTCCCTAGGTCAACTGAAGGATGTATTGAGCAAAGCTTTGAACTTCCCCTCAATGTAATTGTATTTTATTTGTCGTTTATGAGATACACTTTAGTTTTCCTGCTTATGCTTTTACCCCCTTGTTTAATGGAGAATGAGGATAAGTAGACAAGTTCTGAATCAACGTGTCACATATATAGGTTCATATGTGCATGTCCTACCCACCACTCCAAAAACTTAAGAAACCAGTGAGGATTTTTGGCTTATGTAGAAATGACCTTTTCTATCTTACAGATGCCTTGTAACGTGATTTTGAACTCAGAACCTGGTCATATTGGATCTCAAAACAGTTTTCTTTCAAAGACTCTATCAGTGTTTAAAAATAACTCAGAACCCGGCACTTTGCATGTTCTAGATGAGGCCCTTCTCTGTCCACTGAAAATAAAGGCCCAAACTCGCTAAGTTTTTTGAAGACTTTCTGAGTAAGATCTGTTTTTGACTAAATCTGATTGACTTGGTTTGAGTTTTTCATATCTTGTAAAGCTAATGAGTATTTTTTAAAACATGTGAGTCTTGGCAAGTTGACTTTGTATCGGCGAGTCAACTTGCTCTAGACCCTAACAGGTTCCTGGAGTGTGTTTGGGTTTTTAAATATTGGTACCTCATTTTTTCAATTCCAGATTCTTGGTGGCCACATAATGATCATTCGAGCTTTATTCCAACAATTTGTTGTCGGCTACACGAATCTTGTTCTGCCATTTTGCTCTGCCAAGAGTCATACCCTCAGTCAGATCATAAGTCACTTTATCTTTTAGCACTAATTCCGTCCACATCCTTTAGGGAATTTCCCTTGCCTTTTTAGAGTCTTCTACTTGAACTAAATCACCTCTCTTAACCGGTGTTGTTCTAGGTCTAGGCTGCACATGACTTGACCACCTGAGTTTACTTTCTCTATTTTGTCACCGATTGGAGCTACCTCTAAGTTCCCTCAAATGTATTCATGCCGAATTCTATCCTTTCTTGTCTTGCCACTCGTCCATCTCAACATTCTCATATCAACTAGACTCATTTGATGGATATGTGTTTCTTGACCGCCTAACATTTCGTCCCTTAAAGCATGGTTGGTTTGGCAGCCGTCCTATAGAACTTCCTCTTCAGTTTCATTGGTATGCAATGATCACATAAGACTCCAGAAGCACATCTTCATTTCCTCTATCCAGCTCTAATTCTATAAGAAACGTCTTCCTCAATATCTACTTTCTCACGGAGTATCTTGGGACCCAAGATATCGAAAATAGTCTCTTTTGGTACTTCTTGGCCATCATTATAACTTTTTAGGAATACAATTATACAAGTTTATTATGTACAACACAATATCTAGGTGTTGGTATGGGGTATTGATATTGGTATGTTAAGGCAAAATTTAAAGGAGGTATCAAGCATGTTTGAGTTGGTACATTTGGCTGACATTGGTACATGGGTTAGGATAATGATATGGGTATGGATACAATATAGGTACGAGAGACTATTGTATGAAATTGGTACTTCGTGTACATAATTATTGTGAAGCATTAGGAAATGAACAGTTATTTCAAACAAAAGAAGGGGGTGTGGAGGGGGTGGATTGGGTTATGAATTATATATGTCGGTTGAAAAATGAATTCCTATATCATAGGAACTCACTTCTAGTGGTCTACCTGGAGATGAGTTTCTATGGACTAGAAATACATTTTGGAGATCTTCTCAAGACATTTCAGACAAATTTGCCAATATGGATAGTCATTGGGACCGGTACAACGGCACAAGAATGTTTGTAGGTAACTACTAGAATACCAACACTTGAATGGTTCCATGGGCACCACATCGCAACTTGTGCTTGATAATGATAAGTCTTAGGGGGCGATCTTAGTTTTATCAATTTCATTCTCAAATATAAATATTGGAATGTGAATCATAAAATGACTCTATCCAAGTTGCTTACTTTTCTCTATCTAACGGGTAGGATTAGGGAGGGATCCTGCTATCCCCAACACGATTTTTGTTTTTCAAAGTCACATCTTCTGGGATTCCTAGATGCAACCCGATGCTTCTTTCTTCTTCTGTCACAACTCCTTCCACTCAAAAAAAAAGTTTGGTTATCCATGTCATGTTGCCATAAGTTTTTTTTTTGGGGTGTATCTGTTTGTGGGAGGATGGTGGGGTAGGTGAGCTAAGTTTACATGTGGGAGGCTTGAGACCTGCGCATATTTTACACATTGATGCAAGACTTCTGATCACCGGTCAGGTGTCTAGCTCCCAATACCTTTTCGACATGCTAGTTGTGAAATGGGTAAAATATCTTGTGCTGATCATTTAGAATGATTTATATATACAATTCATGGATGTCTCATGTTAGTGATTAATGAAAACATGAGTTATGAAGCCATGTTGCAGGTCTAGACATGACATGCACATGATAAATGGTCAAGAAATCATAAGATCCCATCTTAAATGATTTACTTGGCCAAGGGATTTTATTGTTCATGACTGATTCTTGTAGCTGAGGATTTTGAATTGTGATGGCTATCTGACTCGTGGTGTGTAATAGACGGAAACAAACTTGGAGAGGTTTAAATATGAAGTGAAACTAGTTGACAGAAGTGACATAGTTTTCAAAGACAAATCCTTTGCAATGATACAAAGATTAGAAGAGTTCCACATCTCGAATGCACATGATCAAATGATGCTTAAATCTATTGAAAGAAATTGGATGGCCAGCTCACTTGGCTAGTGTGTAGAACTCACCACTGTTTATTGTAGAATTATGCGTGACATTAAAATTGGTCCAATACTTGTTACTAAAATTCTTATTGTTTGAATCTATCTGAGAGTACGACAACTATCCACAATTCCTTTGCTTGACAAATTAAGTGTTTGACCTACACTACATATGGAGAGGCTGTACAATGATCTAGATGTATTAGAATCCATCCCACGGGCTCTCTGAATTTGTTTTCTATAAGAATGTTCTTAATAACCTGGATTTGTAAGGTCACGAACTATGTGGATAGCTTGGACACAGAAATTTTCAATTGAAAATGTGCCAAGCATGATATTTAGAAAGCCTCGTTCTCTCATATCTAGTAAAATAAGATTTGGTTGAAAGACACGGTCTGGTAAGCAATCTTTGTTCTTTCTTTCGTATCGCACAAATAACATATCTCAATGAGCAGCGTAGAACAGCAATGGGACTTATGGGGTGGAATGAAGTTGAAAAGGTTGAAGAGTTGTCAGCTGCTTTACATGATAACGTTACACTTGGTCTTTATGAAAGTTGGAGAACCAACTCATACTGTTTCCTAGCAACATTGCCAACTACATTGGAGATGGAGGGATCAATTCGATCTTGAAGCAGCCTCAACATTACTTTGGAGGTGCTTGTGTCAATCTAACATTATGTCACATATGTCTAAGCCATTCCCTGTCGAAGGGACGAATGTTGCATATTTATGGTGTCGGCTGTAGCAATTGAGGAAAGACTTGAGAATATTGGGTCCAACTCATGTCGACCACTAACATAACGTTTTAGCTTCCTATGGATTACTTAATAATTGACCCATAAAAATGTGGAAGAATGAACGGTGCTGTTAATGGCTGCTGGCCTTCCTTAGTATGGAACTATTTATTTTTAGTGCTAAAGCCCTTAAAGGTAATTCTGTACTTTGGTTGTTATGGAACATCGAAGAGTTGCTATATTAATTGGAATTTCAATCCACATGGCTGAAGTTTGAAAGTTCTATTCCAATATAAACCACCATGCAGGAGAATTTATCTGTTTATCGAACTTTGGTGTGATTTGCTTGACAGAGAAGATAGTTAAGAGACTATAAACTGAATGTTGAAGTGGATCAAAAACTTAGTTCAAATGAATACAATCAAAACCGTTGTCAGTTCCTCAAGTCCAGATTAATATAAGAGTTTGGAAACTCAAAATTTAAAATAGTGGGAAAGTATTTCAACTGAAGCATAATATGAAGTCCAAGAGAGAGAACATTAATCTAGTGTGAAGCTTGAACATGTCATACATGTCTTTTTTCGGGTAGTTCAAAATTTTCGTGTATATGAACGATAGATTCAAGAATAAAGGGGATCCATAATATTTAATATGGGATTTACCCAATAAAAAAAAATAACAGAAATTTAAACAAAGAATTCTAGGATGGGCTCCTCAAGGTTGAAAATTAGGGAATTTTAATCTGCAAATTTCAGGCTTGGGAGGACCTATTCACCCCAAAAAAATGGTTTGGGAGGACCTATGTGTCTTATGCATTTTACTCATTCTCAATGTCATGTTACCCAAACTTTGTATGAATGGGCATTATTATTAGGGAAAGCCTTGTGCTTAAGCAAACAAAAATTGATTGTTGATCAATGAATGAAGAACATGCATGGTTTGGGGCATCAATGTTTAATGAAAAGCTTCCAGTCTTACTATTTGGCTATGGTACAATGAAAAATAAACTGCAGGTGGTGGGAATAACTAAAGAATGCTTTTACTAGACCTTATGAAAGAAACATGCCTACATTGTTCAAAAGACCACACCACTCATCTAGCTTAGCCAAAAATGAATTTGTGTTTGTTTTTTAAGTTATTAGCAAGCTATATGAGGAATAAAGGAATGGAATATCACGCAATTGTCCTTGCATGGCATGATATGCAGTGAAGAACAAGGACAGTTCTTTGTTTTACTGGAATTGCTTTATGCAACACTCATGAGAGAAAGTAGACTGATGGAATATCTGAAATGGTTGTACTTTAAATGTTGTTTTGTTTCTCTGGATTTTTTTAGCAGTTTGGTTTTTGGCTAATGCCTTCTCGTTTTTTCCACCTACAATATCCAACATCAATGTTCATACGATCATACCTGTGTAACAATACTAGCGATCAAATTTTCTCCATGGCATTCCCCTTGTCTTTGCTCATGATTTTACAATGAATGTTCTATTACAAAACACACACAGACAAACACAATATAAGAAACAGAAAAAAAGGACCTGATAATGTTCTTGATGGGTTACAGTTTATCAGTGTGTTGAGTCGCAGCGGTTGTTAATTGACTCAATTCTTAATGAACTAATGTGGGATACCAAGTGGAAAGATTCGTAAGGACCACTATGTGTATTTATACTTGATCTAATGGAATGGAATTTATGAATTTTTTGCAGGTCTGCTTGACACCAACTCATCTTGCGATTGTAATGGAATATGCTGCTGGGGGTGAGCTCTTTGAGAAGATATGCAGTGCTGGGCGATTTAGTGAGGATGAGGTTGTTTCAATATTCAACTTTTGATTTATCTCTTTTTGCTTTTTTTGGGTGTTCAGGAGTAGGATTTGAAATTGGGATTGGTGTTGCAAACTTGTAATGGGCACCACCTTAACCAATCAAACCCAAGCTCAACACCTAATTTTTCAACTTGTGTACAATTTCCTTTTGGCAATACATTTGTGTTTGAACTTATGTTTTTACACCCTTTTTTCTGTTTTTGACTATATCTTTCTTGACAGGCAAGATTCTTTTTTCAGCAATTGATATCTGGAGTTAGCTACTGCCATTCCATGGTATCGGTCAAAATCATTTATGCGGATAGTTTAGTATCGGTTTATTTTTTTCCGGTGGTAACATATAAATGCACAAACATATAATAGAAGCATATACTAATAACGTTCCTTTTCTGTTTTCGGTTCATCATTGCAGCAAATTTGTCACAGGGATCTTAAGTTGGAGAACACGCTTTTGGATGGAAGTCCCACCCCACGGCTTAAAATTTGTGATTTTGGATATTCAAAGGTGTTCCTTTGTTAGCTGGCTTATAGTCCCATTGAACAACTATTCTTCATTCTTAGAATTTCATAGGAGTATTGTGATAATTTATGGGTAACAAAGACGAGAGATCTTGTCAAGGTTAATCGCACAGGAAAAATTCCTTTTATTGGTTTGAAACAAACCTCTCATTGATCATTGATTTGTTTTTGTTAATTTATTATATATATCCAACTAAAACGAGATTTCACCCTTGGTTTTCTACTTTTTTTCGGTAATTTATTATACATGTCTAACTAAAATGAGATTTCACCCTTGGTTTTCTACTTTTTTCTAAAAAAAAAAATTTTAAAAAAAAATTGCTTGGAAATAAATGAAAGTTTATGTGATAAATATTGATTTACAAACATAAATATTTCAGTCATTAGTGTATATGACAAAAAGATGCATATGCTAATTTAAAACTTAAATAAAAAGGTTAAACATTTATTCTATTTCAATTTTTTTTAATTTTAAGGATCTCGTTTTCTTGTAGTTTCCTTTTATTTAAAAGAATCCTAAGATTCTCCTGAGAGAAACCAAAACTGTTTAGAATTGTACAAAAGAGCATAGATTCAGAGAAATTATTGATTTATCGCTATGGTTAATACAAGTTTGGAGGAGTTTATTTGCGTTTTGAGCTTCAATTTGTCTGGCAGTCCTCTGTGTTGCATTCGCAACCAAAATCCACCGTCGGGACACCAGCATACATTGCCCCAGAGGTCTTATCTCGAAAAGAGTATGATGGCAAGGTTGGATATCTTCTTCTTAGTGTTTGGTTTTAGGATGGATTGGATGTGTTATTTGAGTTTGCTAATGAGCACTAATGGTTTAAAGATGGCCAATAATCTGAATTGGGGTTTGATCCTGTAACTATATAAATTACATTTATCATGTCTTATATATTTTGTAAAGAACATTTCAATGTAAGAAATGAAAATCTGCTCCTGAGATCTTTTGAGAGTTATTTGATTGCTTGAGACTGCTTTAATATTGGATGATGTTTTCTTTTCTATAATTTAATTTAGGCAGATGTTTCTACCGTGGTATCTTACATGTAGCTTCTTAATTACTCAGATTGCAGATGTGTGGTCTTGTGGGGTGACGCTTTATGTGATGCTTGTTGGGGCATATCCATTTGAGGATCCTGAAGATCCTCGGAATTTTCGTAAGACAATTGGGGTGAGTATGGTCAACTCATAATCTGTGTGTGTGAGGGAGAGAGAGACGGGGAGGGGGGGCATGTAGATCTCTTAAAATCATGAATTTTCTGGTTCCGGACAGCCTTGTTTCTTCCTGGAACCAACTAATGGACACTCTGCATGCTCTGCAGCGCATATTAAGTGTGCAATATACAATTCCAGATTATGTCCGTGTGTCTGCAGAAAGCAAACACCTCCTTTCTCGCATTTTTGTGGCAAACCCAACAAAGGTGCGTATTACATTTCTCAGCATAAATTTCCTATCTATCCAAATATGTCATCCTTAAACTCATGTATGCATGGTCACATCCATGAAGATACGTATTTACATTACACAAGCATATCCATATGCATAGACGTTTATGTTGACATGCATACATGAATCAATTTTTTTGTTTTGGTCACATGACTCCTGCATTGAAGCCATTCCTGGTGAAAAGTGTTATCAACAGTTCATCTGTTCTATTCATGTGATCTTCTAAAAGTTGCCATGCACAAGTTACATTTAGAATATAATTTCTTATTACATTTGCATGGAATTTGTAGAGGATTACAATACCAGAGATTAAGAACCACCCTTGGTTCTTGAAGAAGCTACCTACGGAGTTAATAGAGGGGGAACAAACAAACTATGAGAAGGAAGATAGAGAGAACCCTCCTCAAAGCATAGAAGATATCATGAAAATTATACAAGAGGCTAGAACCCTAGCGGAGGGGTCCGAGGCTGATGGGTCCCAATCAGGTGTTGGCGATGTGGACTCTGATGAAACGGACCCGGATGCTGAGGTTGACAGTAGTGGGGACTACGTGTGTCCTGTGTGAATAAGGCATGGAATTCAAGAGAGAGAAAGGGGCTCTGATCTCAGGTATTTATGTATCATTTGATTGATTTCAGAGTGAGAAACCAATGTGAAATTCAGCTCCTAAATTTGGGTTTTCTCGATTACAGCTGCCTCCTTATCAAAACATGATGTGCATTATCTTCTACGCCGTATGATGGTTTATCTCCACTTCCTTGATTATAATGGTGGATGGTGTCTATACATGCATATCATGTATGTGAGGTATATTATGAAATGACTCTCTCTCTCTCTTTCAAATTTCTTGTGAATGAGTGCAAGCACTTAATTGTAAAGCTATAATATCTGCAGCGTTTGAGAGCATATAAAATGTCTCGTGTGTGTTAAATTTTTATCTGTACCCTGTGATCGATGAAAACCTAAGGGCCTTTTTGATGTGATCCATTAAAACTAAAGGGCCTTTTTGATTCGAACAAACTTCAAAGCTTGATCCCTTGATTTGGCACAAGCAAGCTTAAGACGGCATGTGCATTAAATTAAGAGGGAAAGAGGGAATTTCCTTTTAATTGAGAGAGAGAGTTGATACGAATATGTTTCTACAGCCTTGGTACCGTCTTAGAGTTTGGAGCTCCAAATTAGGGATGATTAGGTTTGAAAATTATCTAGGGAAAATTACAAATAACCCAAGACTAGGCTTTCCATGCAAGTTACCCCTACCAAATTTTTTTTCTCAATTTTTTTTACCAAAATACACTTGTCTAGTAAATACCCCCAAGTAAAAAAAGGGTACATTTTTTTTTTGAAAAAAATACCTTTTTTTTGGTACAAAAGTTAATTTTGGTTGGACATTTACCAGGGCCTACATGGGCTGCCGAATTGCTCTTTGACACCCTATAAAACTAAAAAAAATGTCGAAGTGCACTTTGGGCTGTTGTCGGACCGTATGGGCCCATTGTCGGACCGCTCTTTGACAGTGCCGAACTATGTGAGCCGATTACCAGATCATTTTTTGTCAATATTGGACCGTCACTTGTATTGTCGGATTGTCACTGTTATTTACTGGACCGACATTACACTGTCGGATCGCTTTAAGATTACGCCGGACCGTCTTTTCGTGGGAAAGAGGAGAGAGAGGCATGGGTAAAAGTAAGGGGGGTAGTTTAGATTTTTTTTTTTTGAGTTGGGGGTATTTGTTAAGAAAGTCTATGATTGTGAAAAAAAGTTTTTTTGGGGTAACTTGGTTAGTCTAGGGGTTTATTTGTAATTTTCCCAATAAACTATAATGGGATGCCAATATTGGTTTGGGCTGGTAGAACTAGAGTTGGTTCTAAAGAAACACTAACCAGAAGACAAATGGATTCAGAAACCCTACAAACTCGATCAAGCGATTGGGTCTGAACTTTTGAGCTCTAAACTTGCTTTAATAAAATGGACAAGCTTTGATATGTTTCTCCTCTAAAACCACGTGCCAACAAGGGGAAACCCATAATAAGATATACTATATTTCAGGGAAAAAAATTATACAAGGTTGGGGCCCTAAACAATAGACTAAGGCGCACCTAAAAATTTCATTAGAAAAAGTTATTTTGATGCCAAAAAACTCTCAAATCCGATCATCTTGACCTGAGATACGTGGACGTAAAAAAAAAGAAAAAAAAAATGAATTTAAAATATTGAAAATAGTGCATCTTGTAATGCATTATGGAGATCATCTATTTTCAAGGATGCTGTTCATATATATGTTTGATCTATACCGGTTTAAAAAAATGGATTGGTGACTTGAATCGGTTACACCTATGCATGTGTCGGATCGAGGGAATGAGTGGACTGGATTGGAAGAATCAGCGGAATTGATAATTTTGTCCTAAAACATATTTAAAAATAATTCAAAAAATAATGGTTTGACTTTTTTTTTGTTTGACTCGTTGAAGAATCAGTCGGAATCGGTTGGAATTGATGAAGAATCGTTGGAATCGGTGGTTTCACGAAAAATCGGCAAGTCTACTATTTTGAATCAATCGAATCCCGGTTTTTTACCGGATCCAAAACGGTCATGGTGATTTTTGATTCGGATCGTCTGATTCCAGATCAAGTCACCAATTTTTAAATAACTGATCTATACTTTTTTTAAGCTTTAAATTTTATATATCTTTCAATACCATTTGAAGACACTTAACTTTGATTGTGTATAAACCTCACCCATATTTCAGAAGCTTGAAAGGGACTTCCAAAGTTAAAACTTGTAGATACACCCAACAAGGTAGAGAGAGATGATAATAGATGCATAGAAAGGTCTTACAGAGACGAAGCACAGGTGCTAGGAAGAAAGAAAAATGGTTACCCTTCGGCCAAACTCAACATGATATAGGAAGAGTGAGGCCGGGTAGAGGAGTGATTTTTAGTTAAATTAATGGAAAAAATTTATATAAGGTTTCAACTTTTTACTGTAGAAATAAAGTACTAACTTTTAAACCCATTGGAAAAAGTCGTCTCGACATTAGAAAATCCTCATTTTGATTGTACGAATACGAAAGAAAAAAATATATTTTAAATCTAAAAAATAGTGCATCTTGTAACATATTATCTAGACTGACAATTTGTAACTTTGAAATGCTAATAGATATACTTTGGCTCATAATTCGGACGGAGGATATAATTTTTCTCAAAAAAAAAGCCAAGGTCTTAAAAAAACAATAATCTAGATCCGAATCATTTGATCTGGGTCAGGATAGGTAGCTAGGCAATCCAAGTCTATGACATATGGAATCACCTGATTCTTAGTTTTTTTTTGACATATGGAATCACCTGATTCTTAGTTTTTTTTACTTGTCGCTATTGCTATTTTCAATTTAGCTTATCATGCCCCTCTATTCGGCTAATCTACATTGGTTTACCAAAGAGCCAATCTACGACTCGATCCCGAGTTTTAAGGCACTAGCCCTAAAAAACTTGGGGTTGTGCGCCAAATTTGGGGAGGAGCTAGGCATGGGGTGGGAGCCATGGCGAGCCTAGTCATTGCCTTTTGCCTTTTGCTTTTTCTTTTTCCACCAGGGCAAGCCCGCCCGAACCATGCCAAGCCTCTTAGTTATTACAATAATCACCACTTCCCCCACAAGACAAACACCAATTTGCCCATGAAACAGACATGAATTGAAAACTCCTTTTCTCTCTAGAATTCAAACGGTAGGGAAAGTAAAGATACACCATGAAGTGAATCAGGAATCTCTTTTATTTGGCTATAATTAGATGAGGGTGTGATTTGTATAAGGCTAATGCCTTAAACAATCAAAGTGGCTTTTTCAATAGTGTCGAAAGATGATTTTTCAGTAGTAAAAATCTTTGTAATAGTTTGAAATTTTATTTTGATCTCTATTTATAAAATTTAAAGTTTTAAAATAGATCTAGCATGTTTATAAACACTTAAAATATTGAAAATTGATAACCCAGATAATGCAATCCAAAATGCATTATTTTTCAAACTTGATATTTTTTATGTCTATATATGTCGAGGTCGAGAGCCGATCGATTTAGGGGTTTTTCGGAAAACAACTTTTTTTTTGTGAATTTTTGAAATGCACTTTAATTTGATTGTTTATGATATCAACCTTATATAGATTTTTTCCAAATAAAATAAAATTTTTGAGTCACATGACGTCATCATTAAATATTTATCTTTAAGTTAGACGTTTAAGGAAAGAGCACATTAATAGTCTCCAAAAAAAATAAAATAAATAAAAATAAAATAAACAAAATAACAAAAAATAAAATAAAAACACACACTTTTGAATTTTATTTTATTCTAATATTTGATTTTTGGATATCATTATGGCTAGAGCCGACGCCTTCGACCCTATTAGCATTAGCCGGACGTCTCACACTAGCCCGTTGACACCAGTTGGTTTTGAGATGGAAGACTTAGATTCCCTCGAAGATTTAGATAGAAAATCCATCTAAGGCGAATAGAAAGACACGTGCACATATGTGCACTTCTCCTACAAAATTGCGGCAAATACTACTGCATACATGGTTAAAACCCCTCCCTCTCTTTAGGCTTTAGCTACCCATCAATTAACTTTGCATAACATGTAAATTATTTTGGCGTCAAAGATTATTATGATGGTTTGAGGATATATTTAAAATTTTAATTATAAAATTCAAACTCTAAAATGTTTTAAATCAAGCAAAAACATATAAAA